TTTCCGATATTGATTATTCACTTCGTCGCCTTGTGGGTACGTACCAATTAATAAATACTGAATGAACTATGAACAAAATTTTTATTGGTTAAAACGATACCATATAGACTGGTATTCTGTTTATTAGTGACCTCTATATGATAGTTTTTGGTTATCTGAGATTTATTTAGTTGATAGCGTATTTAATTCTTTTTTTTGATTACTAGGTCAAGTTAAGTTTGATTTAACGACATACTTAATCATGTTTCTCTATTAAAAATTAGACCCAGGATTGCCAGATATTCAGAATTTTTAGGGTACATCGTGTTCACCCAGATTAGAGAAGTCGACGACTTAGGAGATCGATCGGAAGATTTTAACTAAAATTGACTGGATTATGGGAAACTGAGCGAGTTTGTCTTGGAAACTAGAGAGCGAAAAGAACAGTAGAACGCTGGAACTTCCCTGGAGAAAAACGAAAATTTTTCAAGATTGAGAACTATTCTCTCGATCCTCCTTGCTAAGAACTACCTGCGAATTTTAACATTGTTTAGGCGCGTTTTCTGAATTGCGACATTTTTCTAGATTTGAACTTTTAGAAGATGTTATAACATGGATTTTCTGCAAGAACGACAACTCAAAAACCACTAACCTCATTTCTAAAAACTATTTAACGAAGTTCTTTTTCTGACTTGTCAATTTTAATAAGAGACAATACGGGTGTTTATAAAAGACTAAAGGTGACGTGGTGTAAAACTGGTCATTGGATTGATTATCGAGCTCGATTCGACGATAATTAAGATGGAAGAGGTCATTAGTGTTACCGGAACTTACAACTGTTGGAAACAAATTTCGTAAATACGATCGATCAGTTTGCTTGACTTGTTCATCTATCAAGACAAGATTTTCTTCGTGACTTTGATCTTTCTCTTCTCATGTTGTATGTTTAACAAGGAAATGACTTGAGAATTTTTGTCGATTAAGATCAAACAATCAACATTATTGACTTTTGAGAACTTTGCGGTTTAAACTGATGTTTCAACCACAAAACACATGAATTGTACAGAAACGATAATATTTGACTCTGTAATGAAACTTCGATTTGTTGCTGAGAAAGTATAAATAACGCAAAATGAAAAATGACTAGAGTTTTGCAAGATATCAGTACATACCATGCATGAGCATAATCACATATGTCGATGAATCAAGAGATGACTCAAATGGATCTTGTTGTATTATAAAGCTTTGCAAATACTCGTTACAGTCAAATATCAAACATCGTGTACATATTAAATAAATATTGTGTATGTATTATCCAATTTAATTCAAACCTTGTTCATGTTCAATGCAAATAGTGCATCAACTTAGCATAGTCCTTTATACATGTGACACCAAGAAGACAAAATGATACTTGATGGTCCGACACAACTTCATTACCTAAGAATCCTTCGGCATACACACAATGGATGTAATTATCAAATTTCGATTCATTCTGAGAATTATAGACAATTCAACCGATTCGTTATTTAGACCTCGAAAATGTCATGATTGATGAAGCATTTTTTCATTGATCAAACTAATACCATGTTAGGCGTCTACTACATCGATTTCAGAGGTTCCATAATGATCTGACAATACAGAGTGTTTCATAAGTCCGAACTGAATGTATTTATATAAAGTTTGAGTACTCGTTTTGATCTTTCAAATGGCATATTATTGGATAACATCTTCTCTTGTAATAATAAAAACATAGATATGAGTATGTTATGATAAATTTTTCGAAGCCGACCGAGATGATTTTTTTTCAAAAATTTCGAATGAAGTGCTGAATATATTTTACATAAAAAACCATGGCATAATAGCAGCTAATAAATAGTCATCTTAACCGTTTATTTGACACTTATTATGAACCACTGGTGACATGTTTAGTCAAGTTATATGTTAGACAATCGATTTGAAATTAACTAAAATATATGAATACATCATAGGTAGAGCAAAAAATAAAGAACAAAGGATTGTATTATGAACTATTGATGAATTATTTAATGTTCATATTTTACTTCAAGATAGTGATGCTAAATCTGCTGAAGTATGGTCCATTGACAATGTATGAAAAATCTTATAAAGGGAAAAGTACGGAGTGAACAGTTTTCATGCTTTAGCACCTACAAACTAGATTGAACAAACAATGGGAAAAATAACTTATAACGATTGTACAAGAATGATTGATAAAATTTCTCATGATATTCTCATGTTTATGTTTTTATTATTACAAGAGAAGATGTCATCCAATAATATGCCATATGAAAGATTAAAACGAGTACTCAAACTTCATATTCAAGATTATTTTCTGTTTGCATATATACTAATTTTTGTCAAGCCTCAAGACTTATGAAACACTCTGTGTACTATCAAAATAAATTGAATTCATTTAAATGTTTTCTAAAAAGTACATTATTCATCAAATAATGAATATTTAATTTCATTTTGTATATTTTAAATTTAATTAATATTCTCGGTCTTTCATTTACTGATTTCGATTTTTTTTACGGCAATGCTTTGCGTATGTCCTTGTTGCTTATGATGGAGAACGTCATCTGTCAGTTTAATAATATATCAAAAATGTTTATCTATTTGTTGTTTCGTTATTAACTTTTTATATATTATGTTCGTCGATCGAGAATTTATTATTTACCGATAACTCACTTATTGTTGTTGATCTTTTGTAGTTAATGTTGAGTAGTCATATAATTCTATTGTATATATATATGTTTTAACATGATTAATTCAGTTACATTACCATTGATGTCCAAAAAATTTGAGAAGCTTTCTTAGCAATAGTTACGTGTTCTCTTGGTGCGAAGCAATTTACAGTGATCAGTCGAGACCAACGTTCATATTTTGTGACACGATCATCTCGAGAATGTCACGTCGTCTGATGTTCATTGAAACGTCATTAGAGGCATTGAGATCTTCATACGATACAAATTTTGTCCGATTCTCTGAATAATCTTTCGTTTGCCCAAAGTGAAACCTGGATATTATAAACGAGACGTGACACTAATTTTAGCAATGATTAATCATCGTTAGCACTAATGATAATCCGTCGATGGACAGTTGCTGACATCTTTTTTTGTTAAATATCAGTAGTCTATAAAGAACTACTAGTAACACCGCCTGTTATGGTTGTGCAAGAAAAAACAATAGTGGAAAACGTCAAAGGCCTTGTCTACACTATATGATTTAATTCGGTATTCAATCACATAGTGTAGACAAGGCCAAAGGTCGTTTTTTATCGCAAATTTATACAGAAAACAGAACAAAACTTTGCCGTCTGTAGATGACAGTGAATATTTGATATTAATATAAATGAATACATCCCAACTCATTTGTATGAATGCATATAGACAAAGTTTATGTACAAAGCATGGTAAATATCGATATTTATTGTATTTAAACAAAACGATCGCTGAAACACGACACAGTTTCTCAGCGATTTCCTAATATGAACAAATGGAATTAGAGAATGTTTTGCCATAATAATCATAGCAAGATTAGATGTAAATTGGACAACAACTTTCAATAAGAATAGTAAATGCTCATTAATTCGATAGATACTAAGAGTTTTTATTATCTGTGCTATATCGAATACCTAAAACTGAAATTCGAGATGTGTTTCACAGCCTTCTTGCACTCTGAGCAGAGCTCAGATGCCATCTAGTTATATCTTGCCGTTAAAATGTTATGTTTCAGATAATGGAAAAAATCTATGTTTTAAAATGTAAAAATAACAAATATTATATTGGAAAAACATCAGATGTTGATCGACGATTTGCCGAACATTTCAGTGGTGAATATGGTAGTGAATGGACAAAACGTTATGCACCTCAAGAAGTAATCAAAGTCGAAAATATGATTGATGATTTTCATGAAATGAAAACAACTTTAGAATATATGAAAAAATTCGGTATAGATCATGTTAGAGGTGCACAATGGTCAAACATCTATTTGACATCAGAACAACGAAATAGTATAATGGCAGCAATCAATACAGATTCATGTTTTCATTGCGGAGAAAATGGACATTTTTCGAACAATTGTACTAATCGAAATCAATCATTTCGAACTTCACAAACAATACAATGTTTTAAATGTGGAAAATATGGACATTTTGCAAATGCATGTGATCATAGATATAATAAGATGCGATGTGAACGATGTGGCAGAGATTCACATTTAGAAGATAATTGTTATGCCACTTTCGATAAAGATGGTGAAATGTTAGATTGTGCTCGATGTGGACGAGATTCACATTGTGCTGACGAATGTTATGCACAATATGATGTAAATGGACGACGATTACATGGATATTAAAGTACAAATCCAAGAATAATGCCTTAAATAAAAGCTTTAAAAAAATGATTTATATTTAATATAAAAACATTACACAGTCAAATTTATATTTGTGACTTAAACTTAAATAAATTCCACTTTGACAAACAGAATATTGTCAAAACTATTGATATATACAGGGTGATCCAAAAGTCTTGGTACCTCTCAGAAAAACTGTTCGTTCTCTCTTATAGTAAACTCTAAAATGCTCAAACTTTGGTATCTTATTCCTTGTAACATGGCGAATATTATCCTAAATTTTCAGCTCTCTATCCTGACAAATAAAGGAGATGTATAGACTAACATTCTTGAAATCTTATTTTCTCCATGTCGCAAAAATATTGGTTGGCACATAATACATGTAAACGAACTGTCTTTACATTTCATTTTTCTACCACTTGATACGTTGTATTAAGAAAACAAAATACATTACAAGATGCAGGGTGAAAAGCTTTACAATCTACACAGTACAACAGATTTCAATTATGCAATTGTTGTTTTCAAGAAAAAGCAAAAATTTGTGCGATCAATTTTTAAGTTAATTGTACAGAGTTGTGCTTCTTTTTGAAAACAACAATTACGTAATTAAAATATGCTGTACTGCATAAATTGTAGAGCTTTTGACACTGCATCTTGTGATATATTTTGCTTTTTCTTAATCAAATTTATTAGGTGATAAAAAGGGTGAAAAAAGACGAATCTTTCGTTTGCGTAGAAAAAACGATTTTTTTTACGACGACGAACATCGATCGCATAGAGTTTTGCTTTTTTATGAAACCAAAAACTATATAATTAAAATACACTTTATTGTGTAGATTGTAGAGTTTTTCACGCTGCATCTTGTAGTGTATTTTGTTTTCTTAATACAACGTATCAAGCGATGGAAACATGAAATGCAAAAGTGACCCATTTATTATACGCCAGCTACTATTTTTGCGACGTAGAGAAAATAAGATTTCAAGGATGTTAGTCTATACATCTCCTTTATTTGTCAGGATAGAGAGCTGAAAATTTAGGATAATATTCGTCATGTTACAAGGAACAAGATACCAAAGTTTGAGCATTTTGAAGTTTATTATAAGGGAGAACGAACAATTTTTCTGAGAGGTACCAAGACTTTTGGATCACCCTGTATATATGCTTACTAAATTTTTCACAATTTTCATAAGATTTATCTTTGTTAAATAAATCACAAATATTGTAGTTAATTGTCAGCTAAGATTTTCTTTCGGCTGCAAATTTCGTAACTATTGAATAACAAATAAAATAAGCAAGCCGACCTAGACATAACTTAATTCCAGTGGACATAGATTATGCATGTGAAAGCAAAAGACTTGTTTTTCAGTGTTTTAACAAATTCAGAAAATGATCTCAATATCTTGATTTCAACACATAATGAATGTGCAGATAATGGATAGATAATCTAAAGTGGACTACAAAAGTTTAAGACACTTTTTATTTTTTTTAAATTTTTTTTACAGGTAAGAAAAAAAAATATATATATATATATATACACTTAGGACATACCAAAAGTAGTGGCAGTGACACTTTAATACCGTATAGTAGGCTTTCAGAAACTTTCTTTCTATATAGTCTGATAGAGAAAAAACTGCTCTATCTTTCTATGCTATTTGATCATACTTCAACTAATATCATAATATTAAATTTTCTATAGAATCTATTTTGGTACGATATATGTTGGTTGTATTAGATCATATTTTATTTTCAATATGTATCATCTTCTTGTTATTCTCTTTCTTCTTTTCAAAATTCTGTATCATCAAATATTCGAAGTAATCATCGTTGTTATTCACACATAATTGCATCCATTGAATCCATTTATCGAATGTTTTCCTATATTCTTCTTTATTTAGAGATTTCATGAAGTTGAGCATAGCACGATACAACGATTCTGAATTGTTTTGATCGATCAGCTTTTGTTTGATAAAGTCAAATAACCAAAAATCACATAGTGATAAATCAAAAGAATTAGGTGGGCGTGGAATTATTGTGATGCCTTCAGATTCAAGATAATTCAACATATCTTTATGAACATGTGGTTGCCCGTTATCATGATGAAGTTTAATATCTTGAACACCACATGAAGATCTTTGCTTCCTGATGTCGTTAATGAGTGGTTTTAAACAATAATCAATATAATATTGATGGTCGATAGTTTGCCCCCGTTTCACATAATGAATTAAAATAGGACTAGTTGGTTTAAAAAAGGTGTTAAATAAGGTTTTCAGAGAAAAATAACTTTGTCGAACCACTCTAGATAGAGAATCATCTCTCGCAACCCATGCAGAATTTCATGATTTTCGGCCGATCTGTGTGTGATAAAACTAGGACGCATCATCTGTTACCACATCACATAGTCGTCATGCACCTGATTCGAATTTTGCTAAATTTTCTTTCCATATTCGAATTCGTTCAGCTCGTTGAGAATCAGTCAGCTACTTGGGCATATAACGAGTGGTAATTTTTCTATGGTTCAGATGATCGGAGATTATTCGTTGAATAGTGCCATGACCAAGATCGGTTTGTGCTTGCACTTCTTCTACTGTAATATAAGGATCATCATTAATAATGTTGTAGACTTGTTCAATATTTTCAGATGTGGTCTCGCTAATAGATCTTCCAAGTCATCCTTTATCTTCAATCTCTTCTCGACCTTTGCGAAACCATTTAGACCATGTTGCAACAGTCCTAAAAGGAGGTGCCTCACCACCGAAAACAGTACATAATTCATCATAAATAATTGCTGGTTAAATATTGAATGCAGTACGCACTTTAATGTAAAATCGAAAATTTTTCTTATCCAACTGAAGCAAAGATGAGCAATGTTATATGTCACATAATTTTATTTCTTTAACTCTATTAAGAACATGCTGATAAACTAAACATATACAATAAACTAAAGAAACACGCGTTCTCTCTACATGTATACATACATATCGATAGCTAATTCAGAGTGTAAAGAGAATAATAAGAAGATGATACATATTGAAAATAAAATATGATCTAATACAACCAGCACATATCATTCTGAAATAGGTTTTATAGAATATTTAATATTATGATATTAGTTGAAGTATGATCAAATAGCATAGAAAGATAGAGCAGTTTTTTCTCTATCCGACTACATAGGAAGAAAGTTTCTTAAAGTCTACTGTACGGTATTAAAGTGTCACTGCCACTATTTTTGGTTTGCCTTAAATATATGGAAAAATGCATTATTAATCAGGCTGAACATCACAGTATATAATTTTAACTGCCCAAAAAAATATTTTCCGATAGAATCAAAGAGTACAGTATTCGAGTAGAGACGATAAATTGTGACAAAATTGAAATTTTACAAAAAATATGCCGTTCTGTAAACGACAGCAATCTGTAGTCAAATGATAAAAATATATCAATTATCGACATCAGCATGGCATCTGTGATGAATCATTTGCATTTGCAAAGAAAGAACGAAGTATCCTGTGTCTTCAGAATACAAAGAAACGAAACTTAGTGGTCATGATGTTGTATCAACAATAACAACGAAACATGAACATTGAAGAAACGTATACATACATATAAGTGTCACATAATTTGACCGAAAAGGCAACGATTAAACATAAATATATTGAGAATGACTATGTGCTGATGTTACTTCACCTCTTTCAAGGATATATGACAGAGGACACGAGATAATTTACAACTCTATAATTTTGAAAGTCGTCATTAATAGAACGTCATGTTTCGTGTAAAATTTCAACATTGTCGCAATTTATCGTCTTTACTTGAATACTGTACTTTTTGACTCCATCAGAACATATATCTTTTGAGCATTTAACATTATAGATTGTGACGTTCAGCCTGATTCATAAAGTATTTTCCATATATTGTTGAGGCTTGAAGGAAAATAATATTCTGTCTTAGGGCCATCTGATTACTTCTAGTCAAATCGATTCCTCGTCTCAACGATAATAGATAGTAATCTGCAGCTTGCGTGTTCTATAAAGGATTCTTTGGACTTTCTGATTAACTTATAAACTAAAGTATTCAATGTAAATTCTAAAAATGGCATGAATGTAGAAAAGTCGGAATAATATCTGATACCTACGTATATGTCTTATCGACAACTTAAATTTAATAAAGAGTTGTTGCTCGGAAGTTGGTCTTTCGAGTGGTGGAAACTACAGATCTCTATCTTGTTTCTATCAAATATTATTCAAAAAACGACAACTCTCCTTTTATTTTGAATCGGGTGATAGTTGACTTCTCTATGCGCGCAATGTTTCGGATACAAATTCGAAAATATGAGTTTTTTTGAAAACCTATGATCTCCAGAAAATAAAATAGACATATTACAAATTTGATAGCGCAGTCAAATATCAATAGCAACCTAAACGCTTTTAGAGCTTTATGAAAACACTATGTAGTATCTATCAAAGCTGGGCATAGAACAGGATGGTTCTGCTTCCCTGATGTTCTGTCCTGCCGCTCATCAAGTCGCACTAAGGGTGTAGAACAGGACAGGACAGAAAACGTTGTCTTGTTCCCATCTCTATTTTTTGTATGTTTTCTTTTTCTTAGTATGATTTTTGTTATCGAGTACTTTTTCATTATTTTATTTCTTTCTATTAATAGTATTCACTATATGTGAAGGCAACGATAATGAAACCCCGCAAGTTCATATTTTTTTATATTTGTTTCCTGTGATGAATGTATCATTAAAGTAATAAATCAAGATATTTTTATATTTTCTTTTGTTTATAAATATTAGTCATTATTGACAACTTTAGTTGTTGTGTTTAAAAGTGATACGAAACAAATTAGCTATAAGATAACTAATAAACTAATATGTACTTTGGTGATTCAAAAGTCAAAATAAAAATTCTTACTGTTCTGTTCTGTTCTTCAGGACAGAACGAAGCCACATAGGCAAAAAAATCATTGAAACCAGAAGGAAGCCGCTGAAGAGGTTTCCTTGTTAGCTAATTGATATGGCTGCTACTATCACACATGACGAGACGAACATAAATATGTAGCTAGATGAATAATAGCTGTAGGGTCTATGAATCATCTAGTCATGACTCTCAATAATTATTTGATTAGTTTTTCTGCAAGAATGTTTCCACAATGCAAAATTTGCATTATCTTTAACAATATTGTAAAAAAGGGAAAGGCTGAGCCCACCCACAGAAAAAAATTCTTTGCGTCGCCGAAAACACACAAGATAGCTTATCTAGTCGATATGGTTTAAAAGTAGAAGAATAAACAGCATGTGCAATCATTCAATCTTAGCAATTGAAAAAGTTGAATGATCCGTTTCATCGATTCATAAAACATCAAGTAATTTAGTAATTAAAAGGTTATTTTTTGATTTTCATAGAAAAACAATACTAAAAGATGATACATTCGAAAGCTTCATCCAGGTTATATAATCTTATGATTTTCTAATAATTCTAATTATATTGCTCATGTGATTATTGATAATCATGACCGTGACAAAACATAACAATATCTGTGATATTATATACTTCATTTTGGATTTGTAGAACAACAACAAATAATCCTTAATTTTTAGTATCAATGTGAAACAAGTGAACGGAAAACAGAAACAAAATCAATTGACATACACACACACACACACACACACACACAACAATAAAATATATATTAGTTTTTTAATGTACTTTATTATTTATTTCATGAATATTTGATGATGATGATTGTTGTTGCTGCTGCTGCCGCTGTTGTTGTTGTTGCTGTTGTTGATCATCATCATCATCATTTAAATGACTTGATGATAAACTTTTACATGTTGGTTTTAAATTCCATTTTAATTTTTTTTGTTTAGACTTTGTCGTTAATGGTTTTAAATTAATTGATACATTTGTTTTATTTGTATCTAAAGTAAGATGTCCATTTAAAAACTGATTAGTCAATTTTTCACTATCACTTGTAAGAGAATTTCTATTTGAATGTAAATGGTTGGAAAAACTTTGATAATTATGATTGTTCACATTATTATTATTGTTATTATTATTATTATTATTATTATTATTATTATTATTATTATTATTTGATTTGCGGCGATCAGTAGATGTATTTATTGGTTGTTGTTCACGTTGTTCATCGGATGCAGTAAAAAAACTACATATACTACGAAATGTTGAATTACGCCCAAGAAATGTTTCATTAAGAAAATAATTACAATGTGCTATTGTAAACACTTCTTTAAGAAACACAGTTGATGTTAAAGAATATAAAAAGAAATTTAATGTATAATTTAAATTTCGTATTGTTAATGATAAATAACGAGAACCAATATTAATTATATTAACTTTCAGATTTAATTTTACACTACCAATTGCAGTTGAAAATAACCAATACCAACATACTTGATATGGCATGGTAAATGTTATAAATGAAAATGAAACAGCAATTAACATAACACTAATATGTATACGTCTAGTTCCACTTGTACGTATACGATTCCTTAATTTTTGTATTGTTATTATACTTAATGTTAATATAAATATTGATGGTAAAACATAAATAAAAAAAATTTGTATTGAGCCAATTATTTGATATGTCTTAGAAAAAAATAAAAGACAATCGTCAACTTTTGATGCAACTATAGCAAGACCAAGTGGTGATATAAGTGCAGTTAAAAATACACTAAAGACAATAATCCATGCTTGTCGACGATTAAAACTTGTTCGAATTAAAAATGGTTTTGTTACAGATAAATAACGTTCACCAGCAATCATTAATATAAGCCAAGAATTAATTGATGAACCAACTAAATCAATATAAACATGAAATGCACATATAAATCGTGAACCGGTTACAACAAAACCAATAAACACTTTATGATTGAGCCATTGCATGGTTACTGGACCAGCCAGAATAAGAATATTTGCTAATGATAACATTGCCATAAATACAGACACCGGATAACGACGCATACGTTTACGAAGAAATATTACCATAGATAATGCATGTGTTGGAATACCTTAAATAAAACAAAAAAAGATTCAATTTTTTTCATATAAATTAAAAATAATAGACTTACCAATAAGAATTAATATTGGGTTAGCATATTGAAAAACTTCATCTGTTATGTAATAAAATCGTGTATAAGCTCTATAAGTTTCCCAATCATCAACAAGACTTCCATTAATATCATCATCAGTATCAATTGTTGTATTCATTATTTCAATCTACAGAGAAAAAAAAATTTTTTTCATCTAACAAGTAGCATACAGTACAAAACAAATATATCTAGATCTATATATATAAATATGTAGGCCGTTGATTAAAAAACAGAGCAAGAAACAGACAATTAATATGGAAAATAAAAAATAGCACATTGCGTATGACTATTTTCATCAAAAAAGAATCGTGTAATAAAATATCTAAAAGCATTATTTATATTCTTTTTTTTTCTTCCACTTGACTCAATTCACTATCGATAAAACAAAGATAATACATACATTAGAGGTACATATAAAAGACAAAGATTCGCATGTTCAGTCTACCGTACAACTTTAGAAAGAAAAAAATCGGTGTTCATTGTTACGAACCAATTAACTTGTTGAATAAGTTGACTGACACATGATAACAGTTTAAAAGCTTTCTCATATGACAGAGAATCTACTTGAGATTCTTTTAAAAAGAAAAATTTGTTATTGGAGAAAAAAAAAACGATAAACACTTCACTCCCTCATGTTATTCGAATTCTTTTTATTAAGCTATACACACAACCATGTCTTTTCTATGATCTCAATAGAAAAAAAAAAAAGAACTGACTTTTTAGAAAAATAATCAACTAGTATTCAATATAAAAAAACATGATATCCGGATTTATTAAATAAAAGGATGCATTATTATTTTTACGTTGTTGCTGACTTTTTTTTTCTCATAATGAATCTTAAAAGCCAATCCGTACTTAATTATTCTTCGTCAATGAATTAATCTCAAGCTTTTTCATATTACAGGTGAATAGGCAAGAAATTCCTGCAGAAAATTGCTTCTCTTATAATATATTTTATGCGACGCAAAAATTATCATCATCAACATCATGTTTTGCTCATGTCGACATAGAAAAGGAAAAAAAAGCAGAAAGAAGAAGAATAAACCCGACATTTGACACGATTCGACTTAGCTTTTGGCTATATTTTCTTCCGTATATATCTGTGAACATGGATGATGTTATGTGCCTGATTTGAGTTCCATCAAAGCATTGAACATATCGTTTTGTCTTTTTTGTTAATTTTGAATACGAGACAAGACAAAAAGAAAAACACATTGTTTGACATTTTTATTTGATCTAACCATCTAACTCTATTACGAAAAAAATCATGTCAATAATGATAAATGTTCATATAGCTAGCAGCAGAAAAGTCAAGTTGGCATAAATACTGCATCATAGAAAGCATGAAAAAATTTTCTCCATAAGATAAGAAGAATGATCTGTAGGCTTCTTCTTGAGTTTTAATCTTGATCTATTTGTAGATCGACAACAATATATATTCAATAAATATATTATTAGCTTAAAAAGAAAAGCTCCAAGAAGAAAAGAAATAAAATAAATTATAGAATTTTTTTATTCTCTATTCAACTACGTATATTTTAACTTGTTTCACTCTTTATTACTTTCAAATGTCTATGTTTAGATCTTTCACATTAAATACATTATTTATTAAATATAAATGAAATTTATATTTGAGAACGACTTATGCATGTAAAACAGCATATTTCTTTTGATTCGTATACTTGACATTTTGTTTAATTTACGCTATTTTAAGATACATCTTGAAATAATTCAAAAGAACAGAGATGCACTAAGCTGAAATTAAACAACTATAGCGAACTGTTACGAAATAAAAACCTTGTATGTAATTTCTACGCTTTCTGTTTCTCTTTAATGACATTTTTTTTAGATATCTATATATATATAAGTGTCTTGCACTACACTATCATCTAACATGATTCGATAAATATCCAAGTGGCTTCTAGTATGCGAAGATAGTTGATACGAAGTGAAATGAGCGTGTTATTATGTCGAGAAAAGTCACAGACATATCTGTTTGAGATTGATGTCATTAATATGTAAACAATCAGAAAAAAACACGAGGGCTTTTATTCGAAGAAGCTATATGCCTATGACGTATCTAAGTCATTCCCAGTTCATACTATTTTTGTTTGTTTTTCTGAAACCCTACCTATCTTTGAAATTACAACAGATGTTAAGCAGAAAAATGAACTATCATTTAAATATTAATGTAAGTATTAATGCTAACAATTTCTTAATATTATCAGTCATGCAAAATATTTAAAAACCATACAAACAATTACTTACTTTTTCTTCTTGATTTTTTTTATAAATTTGAAAAATATGTATTGAATTCGACATATAAAAGCCATTTATCTAAACATTCCTATGACATGTATTTATGATTTTTCCGTCGCTATCGCTTAATATTTATTCGATAGACGTAGGCTTTTCTGATAATGCACTTCCTATACGTCATACACTCCCGAAACGTCAAGTGTTTGTGCAAGTGCTAACGTCTATTTTCCACTTAGCATCAAACTTTTTCAATTTAATCTGTATATATGTATATATATACATATCTCTATGAGTGTTTTGTCCTTGAAAAAATAAGTATGTTTGTTATCGATGAATATGTGTTCAATTCAATCAAAAGAATTTCTCTATTTCTAAATTATTTTCATGTTGATTGCACATAAAATAAAAGTTCAATAAATGATATACTTACACATAATAATAACTGAAGCAATAAAACAAATATATATGTATATATATATATTTATTTACTTTATCCTATTAGAAGAAAGAAAAGGTTTTTTTTATTTCACTTTTCCTTCTGTTCTTTTCTACAAGCATATTACTACGCTTCATCTTCATCTTCTCTTCCCGCTCTTTCATATGATGAACACAGAATGTAATTGACACGCAATAATAATAGGGAGATGGATGACTAAAAGAAAAAAAGAAAAAAAGAAAAAAAGAAATAGTTAAAGAACAAGATAATACAAAATACTCCTTTGCCAAAAGTCATACTCGGAAGAAACATATTTGAATATAAAGACTAACTATGCGTTGTTGAAAGAATAAATATACAAAAAACTTCATGTATTCTTAAGTTTCTATACTAAACATGTATTCATAAAATAAAAGAATATAATTCTGATTGGACATAATTTTATTTTAATTAGCCTTAGTCGTTACTTTAAATAACAATAGTAAGTCATAACATTCACTATTAAATCGATGATGATAGTATTGGATACTATTATAGACAAACTATTGAGTACATACAAGTATAGAATACCAAAAAGAATAATGGTTTTCTCATTCATTGTATCGTCATCGGGGATTTGTTCTCACTCGTTCTCTCTTTTTCTACTCTTATTAGTATTCTATATTTTTAGGATGAATCCAAACAAAAAAGAAGGACCTATTCATCGTAACGATTAGGACGACCTATACGACCAAGTCTTTTGTAAAGACAAGTTGACTAATAAAGTAATCAGAAATTCATTGAATTTAGTTATGAATGAGACATATTAATAACTTGTGTTAGAATGACTATATAATCGGCAATGAATATGCTTAGTAAACATATTATGGATAATCTATATTATTTAATTATTAATGGAGTTTTACAAGGTCGATATAAATAAACTATACAAAGGAAATTAATAAGCTAATCATTAATAAGTTTTTCATATAGGACAATAGTGATTTCCTTTTTGATCGTTAATGATGAAGGGAAGTTATACGATATATGACAATAAAATAGAAACAAATAAGTCTTGACTAATTGCTGATCTAATTTTGGTTTCGTGAATATTCAATGATCATCAGTGTTTTATCCAGATTTTTTTCTTCCGGAGAAGCAATTTGAGACTCTAATAGAGGAAATACCTATTTTCTTGAGGAAGGGCAAACACATAAGTAGACATTTTAAGGGCCAATTGTGTTTTCTTTTCTGTTTTGTTCAAAGAATCTCAGTACGGTCTATAGATGCTGTTCTATACTCATTTGATAGAAAATTTTTCGTTCAACAAATTCATCAAGTTTATTTCTAGGATAAGTTTTTTCTTTTCAAAAGCAAACTGAAAATTTCAATACTAACTCAATTGCCCAACTGTGATCTTATAGTGTTTGCAAACATTGATTTGCTCAAGTCTATGTTTATCCAGTGCAATGCTAGAATAGATTTAGAATTTTCAATTCTATAACCTTATGACCTTCTCACGAATCTGGTTCTTTTTGTTTTTATCGGGAGAAAATGAAATTTTTATTATTACGTCTTCAAATGTTGAATTTAATTCTAAATAAAATTATACAACTGTTAAACTAAACGAGTAAAACATTTCGATAATTTTGAATCGAAAAGAAAACAAACAATATAATACGAATAGAAGAAACGAAGCACTGTCAATATCTTTTACATTTATTTTTTCTTGACAATGTTTTCTTGAGAAACATTTCACTTGAAATTCTATAACATACATCAAAAACTACAGAATTTTATGAGAAATCTAAGCACATATTTAAAAATTCAGTGAATCGGACATTAAGAGTTTTGATTGATTTCGTTTTTCTGCTTCATGACATCAGCAGTTGAAAGACTGCATACATGTTAATAGTTTCAATTTAGTACCGACAAAAAAAAAATCTTTTTCCGGAAACCAAAGTTGATAGATTTCCAAAATAAGACATTCTTCATCGAAGGAGCCTAAAATATAGCCTTTAGACTGTGTTTAAGTTCCTCAAAAAAAAAATGAAATAAACACAATCCGTTTTTTACAGTTCGTCCGTTAGTATTCAGTCCATTAACCATAGACTCCAAGGGAGAACGAATTCAATATCCCGGAAGAGTTCGTCCGCTCTCGACCTTGATGCTAGATAAAACAATGATAATAATAATAATAATAACATGTTTATGTAAAAAAAAAAAGAAATCAGTTAATCCTTCGATATGATTATGTCTTTTCTTTAATCTACGAATAAATCAATTTTATCTATAACATTCATTGTCGCACCATGGGACGGTTGTTATTTGGTATGTGTGCAACTTATTTTGAAAAAGGATGAATAATTCAAAGAAAGATATTGATTTAATCAAGTTGATTAACATGAAATACAAGATAATTAATTTCTTATTGAAATAATTTTAATCAAATATTTTGAAAATTAACAGAAAAGGTGAACTTGTTATCCAATTGATTCTCTTCTAATTTAAATACTATGATTTGAAAATATTTTTTTTAAATTTTTTTATCGTACTTTTTAACTTTCTTATTATTATGAATTTAGGTGCTCAAGGATCTGTGAACTCTATATGATAAAATAGAACTTTACATGATGAAATAGTTCACCTGTTTCTGTGATAGATATTTGATGACATACTTAATCGTGATGTCTGTTCCATGTCACTGTTATATCTATTTCTATTCACATCAACTGTCAGAACCTATTCAATAATTAAAAAAGAAAAGTAGGCTTTGAAGAAGATTAATAAGCAAATGGGTATTATCTAAGGAATATGACCATTTAACAATTTGTTTAATGTTAATAACAAGGAATACGTTGCAGCTTTTCAACGATATAAATTTGGCGTGTAAATGAATAGGAGCATTTTTTTCTAAAAAATAATGAAAAATTTACCAAAAGCTCTATTTAAATAATTACTATTGACAAATGTCAACCTGTCATAGCATATTCCGTTCTGTAGTGCACAAAGTTTGTTTACTTATGCCTATAAAATATATGAATAGTGAACATACAAGTTAAAGAATATTCCTTTATAACTTAAAATTTTTTCTTTTTTTTTGTATAAACAAAAACTAACAAAAAATTGGCATACACACATGTATATTTATAAATTCTATCGAACTTTCGGTCCATATCTAGCAAATTCAATATCATAAAAATCTGTATATCGATGACAATTCATAATATTATTTCGAATTAAATATTCCCATCGAAATGAATTAATATTTTTCTCTTGAATTTCTTGTCTTTCAGCATCCCATTTATCTAATAATTCTTGAGATACAGGTACAGCTGGAAATGGTAATGATTCAGCAATTGCTAATAATGTACGATAAAGATAATCAAATGTAAGTGTACCACCAATTTCAATTATAATTCGATTTGCTTTGATCGGTGTAACAAAATATTCTATACTACCTTTACCAGCGCCTCGTTTTTTATTTAAACCTTTAAAATACCAAGGATGCCAAGGTGGATCAACACGCCATATAGAAAAACATCGTTCCATATCAATTCGTTTATTAACCATATCACGAATTGTATTAAAATGACTTTCTTTCATTAAACCAGGAGCAAGAGCCTAAATAATGATACGAGAAAAAAAAATCTTCTATAATACTAGAAGAATATTATTTATTTTGACAGCATACTATAATTCCATATTGTTTATGTATAAGCTTATCATGAACTATTTCTACGCCACGGCATTCAAGTAATCGTCGAGACATGTTTGGATAAACTTGTTGATTTGGTGGTGTATCAGGAACACTTTTCACTTCGGGTAATTCATTTTGTAATGGCAATCCAATGGCTATTTTATTTCAAAAAAAAATTATAAGCAATATTTATTATAGGATGTGATTATATTTAAACATACGAAGAACTTTTGGAAATGGTGGTTTATCTTGTGTACCATTAACTATTATTCGATTAAATAGAATAGGTCGTAAAAGACGTGAACCTTAATAGAATAGAGATTTGTAATCGAAGAAATGATTTACAAAGAAAAAAAAAAGAAGACTAACCATTTTTTATAAATGATCGACACGCCATATCAATCTGAAAGATATAAATATGTTTTTTGATTGCATTAATGTTGTTGTTTATTTGTACAGAAACAACAAAATTATCTGCTTATCTTAACAAAATCATTCATATCTAACAAATGGTCTGTAGAATTTCTTTCATCTCATAGATCGAACATATTAATACAACTAATGTACCTCGATATACAAAAAGTTTTATTTGTTAGGTGTAACACGATATTTTGAGCTTCGACAATATTAATATTGGCTAATAAGCCTCTCAGCACTAGAATTTCTTGACATTTGAGTTCCGGATATTTGAGCTTTACACCATCTGAACCTCTCATATGAATGTTTTGACGTAAAAAAAAAGTCACAGTGAGGTATACCCATTGAAAAGGACACTTCTAGAGTTATTTACTACTTTTGAACCCACGCATTGAATGTATCGAGACGGTTGAGATAATGAATTTTCATATTATAGCTCAAAGAGGAATTTTAACTGTACATTGCAATTATCTCGAAAATGAAACGATGCGAACAAATTAAAATCTAATAATAATCTGAGTGCATTATCAGTATATTATTTTAAAATTGTATACTCTTATCTCATCGTTGTAATGCACAGTAGTTTTTTCGTGAATTTCACTGTTGATAAAAATAATTTTTTCTATTCATCATTTATTCTATCGAGTATTTATATCATCATGAAAATCGACAAAAGACTACTAATTGTGCGAAGAATAAGTATTGAAAGAACTATTTGAGTCAATCTACTTAGCAACAATGATTAAATTAAACAAGAGACAACTCAATGGTTCACACATTCAAGCATTGACATTGAAGCAAATTCTGTTGGGAAATACAAATATTTGATTGCATGAATATATTACTGTAGACTATAGATATTAAAAATAAAAACATAAAATAATTCTAATACACTGACAATACGATCATATTATCATTTTCGAGATAAAAGCCACATGTAGTTTAAATTCCTCCTTTGAACTGTAATATGAAAACTTATGATCTCAATAAACGAAGGATACTGACGAGAGAACTATCCGAACTGAAATCTACCGTTTGAGCACATATTACATCTATAAGGATGTGTTGATAAGACTAACAAAAGTCTAAAAAGGTTCGTACCTATGGACCTTTCGAGTCGCGTTATGACCATTTTACTGAATCTTCGACATAGCTTTCTATTCTAAAAGTTTCAGCCGAAAAGAATGTTTCTTTATCGAGATATTGAATTTTCAAATAAACTTGATTCTGACAGAATTTCTGTAGAAAATGATTATTTTCCAAAAATTCAATATTTCGACGAAGAATCATTCTTTTCGGCTGAAACTTTCAGGATATTCCACTAATCATTCGATCTATTTATGAGTAAAATTTCAGGTTGCAAGTCCATTACTTGATTTTTAGGTAAATATCTAAAACTGGGTCGAAAATTCAGTAAAACGCTTATAATTCGACTTCATAGGCACAAATTCTTTAAGGACTTTTCTAGTCTTACTACGATCTCCTTTTGAGCTTCAGTTCTCTTGATATGTTCAAAGCATGGTCTCAAAAAGTGGTAAATAATTTGGGAAACCTTCATTACAATGGTTATGCATTACTATTACACTTTTGCGAAAAGACATTCGTATAAGAGATTCAAATATTGGGACTCCAATGTCAACGACTCAACCGTCAACTGTAGTATTAGTTATATATTCATCATCTGAATCGCATGAATGCTTTAATAATTTGATTCAATACTAAATTTAATAATTAATCATAACCTTGAATAAAAGAAAATGAGATGTATATTTTAAAGAAATAAAAACTAAACTACCTTTCAAAACTCTTTCATATTCTCGATCATCGTTCAAATTTAACTGGTATACGTTTGTCTAAATTGTCTATTTTAAATCAAGAATATTTTCTTTTCTACGACTACTATTATCAGTCATCTGAAGAATAAAACATGATGAGTATCTTTGTTTTTGTTTTATTTATTTCGGATAGTTCTTTTTTTTTTATTTTTTCTTCTTCACGTGTTTAGATGAACGTGATTCCAAATAAAAACAAGAGTAGCAATAAAAAAAATTATCTTTTCTTTTTTAAGCTACAAATTGATATGGAATTGGTTCGACTATTTGTGGTTTATTGCCTTGTGTTCGAATCAAATGTTGTTTACGTGGACCTTGTGGCTATAAGAAATCAGATAATAATAATAATAATAATAATAATGTAAAATGAATATTTATGTGTGATAATTACCTGTCGTTTAATACTAACAAGCGGTACACTTTTTCCAGTTTCTTTAGCAGTTCGTTTCAATTGTTCATTAAGTTTAACACGGGTAAGAAAATCAGTACGACATTTTGAGTGTTTAACTAAAAACGAAATAAACAAAAAAACGTTTGCATTTTTTTTTAAAAGAAATAAAAGATAATTTACCATGTTCAACACGAACATTAATTCGTTTAGCAATAACACGATGACTAAAAGAAAAATAAAATCAAATAAATTTTCGATTGAAAATGGAAATTACATACCGAACACGTTTGTTAACAATAATACCAACAGCATGTCGAGTTACATTAAAAACACGACCGGTTTTACCATGATAGAATTTATGTGGCATACCTTTTTGTACAGCACCATTGCCCTAACCAAAAATGATTACGATCATATTTTTCTTTTTTTTATTAAAAATTAAACTGACTTTAATATCGACAATATCACCACGTTTATAGATTTTCATATAGGTAGCCAAAGGAATTCGACCATTCTTTTTAAACTCGCGTGAAAATAAATGACGCGTACCCCGACGATAACCTTTTGGATTTGTCATTATATCAGCAGTACCGACGAGAAAACTATATTAATCTTAAACAAAAATCATATAATACATATTGAGAAAATAAATGAAAAACTAACTAAAAAAAAAAGATTCAAATGGTCCATCAATAAGCAAGAAGAATGTAATCAATGGATAGAAAGAACCTCCACTACAAATGTACACATATTCGACATATTCGTCTCTTTCAGAGGAAGAAAACAATAATATGCCAATAACTAACGACATCTAAGCTGTGATATGACCTATGTTATATTACAAACATTTCAAAAATACAATTCAACGGCAAAACTGATTAAGATTTTTCCAGTCAATATCAAGCTGCAGCCAATTTTAATTGAAGTAGAGCAATCAATCTATAAGTACAAATTATGTAAAATATAATCAGTTGAAACTAAACGAATGAAGTCTTGTAATGTCATTTGATTTAATTGATGACTAGCGATACAAATTTCACATAATTTACCTATACTTCTCTGTATTAACAGGTTATAACTGAAATCTCAAAACAGAAATCAATAAAATTATTTTTGAAATGAAGAGATCAAAATCGAAATCGTTTAATTGAATAATATCTTTTTATTTTATATTTATGAATTATTATGCAAAATCTATCAGTCAGAGTAAAAAACAATTTGGCGGATCAATCTTTCTTGAACTTCTTCTGGTATATACATCTAACTTGATGTAGCTATTCTTTTAAAAATACAGTCAACACAAAAGGACTTAGAGACTTGCTCTACGTTGAATTAATATTGAATCTCAATCTAACAAAATAATAGTTATCGGAAGGACGAAGTGACAACTGATGCAAGTTTTTCTCTTTGTAGATTAATAGGATAGTTAGTTGTACATTCAGACTTCAATGCTGACGGAGAAAACAGATAATTGTATTAATAAACTAAATCAATCGAATCGTTGCTATACTGAACAATCATCTAATGTAAGCCACTGCTTACAATTACGAATACATAGAGTATTTCATAAGTTTCGACGCCTTTTTTAAATATTTTTTGTATCTTGGCCGTACTCAAAGGTAGATGGATATTGAATATATATATATATTTGAAGAATAGCACATAAGCTATCATCCAAGAGAAGTTAGGCTTAATTTGCATCAACCCAAAGAAAATACTACATTTATAAAAAATATCGTAAAAATTTTATCTAAGTTATTTTGTCGACGTGACCGGACATTACCGAATTTCGTCTTTTCGTCTTTGGTGAGCCGTATCCTCTATGAGAAGAAAAGAAAATACCAGGAAATATTCATTATAGAGATGGGCCCTCGTTAGATCTACCAGCCATGAAAATTTCATTCATTTTGATACAGAGAAAGCAGATTTATTCTCGAAATACTAACCGCTATGGAATTTTAGTTTTTCGAGATTCCGTAGTGATCGCTATTTTGAGAGTAACTCTAATTTTGCTATATCAAAACAAATGGAATTCTCATGGATGGTAGATCTAACGAGGGTCCATCTATAATGAAAATTTCATGGTATTTGCTTTTCGTCTCATGGAAATACGGCTCATGAAAGATGAAAAAAATGAAACTTCACAACGTTCGATCACGTCGAATAAATAACTTGGTCAAATTTTTTTCGATATTTTCACCAATGTAGTATTTTCTTTGAGTTGATGTCAATTGAATTGAATTTCTCTTGGATGATAGTTTATATGCTATTGTTCAAATACATATATTCCATAATAATATCTAAGTTCATTGAGGACAATATTTTGTTTCTGTCATGATAACAATGTGTCAGTTCCGAGTTTAAAAGAATCTTGAAAAATAACTAATAGAAAATAATAGTCTATTCAAAAATGAGTTTTTTCTTTATTGAAAACATATTGTGGAGCCACTTCAACGGTCTTTTGCAGCATAGTTTGAAGAAAATTCTTTCGGTTCTCTATACGAAAAACAAAATTTTCTCATGGTCATAAGACTCGATTGACGCTGTGCACATTCACACAAGTCACATATAAAGATATCTTTCTAAAACAGGAACATATTCGGTAAAATCCCATTGTGTATTAATTAATAGGTCTGTTCACCTTTATATTTTCTTCTGGAAATTCCGATATGGTTTTTTATTACAAAAGAACATATTCATAATTGGAGAAAACATATCTGCAGGTATATATGTTGAGTTTTGTTCTACAAAGTATTTTTTCGCAAAACAGATCTAAAGACATTTTTCGAAATACACACTCACAAAACACTGAATATGTACTCAACTGCTGGTTTTTTTAAACTGCTTCTTGGCAGATAACCATACTCATTGAAGTTAGGTTGAAACTAATAAGTATGCTAATGGTACATTTTACTTTAAATGAAATTCACCTATACTATTCAAACTTCAACATAAGCAACTGTCTGAACTAACTTTGATAAAAAAAAATGATTTTCTTTTTCTCAGTTATTTAACTATTGAGAAAGTTAAATATTGCCAGTAAGAGATCTTCTCCTTTAGAAAAAAAAGAGTGCAATTAGAGATTGCATTAAGATGTTAGGACATGTTGACTGTATTTTTCTAAGAACACTTCTCCAACCAATGATTGTCTCGCTTTTTTTCATAGGATATTATCTGTTTTTCTCTCATTCTACGCATGTAGAATAAGTGACATAAACTTGTTTACTGACGACATATTGGACAGTATTGCCATCTTCGAGCGTCCAAAAAACAAAAAACTACCTTGAAAAAAAAACAAATTGGCAAAAATTTTATCATCAAAAAGTAGAAAAAAAGCAGAAAGCGATTTCCTGATTGCAAATCATTCTTACAGATCTTTCTTAACGTTGTAATAAGAAAATATTACATTAGGTTATAACTTTTTCTTTTCAAAAACAGTTTAAACAGATAAGCAGGATTGCTTAACATATTTTCTTTTAACTGAATCTTGTTCCTCTGAGTTAATAGCTCTCAATGATCTTGGTTCTATAGTCACTACATCGATATAACTCAGTACCAGCTTATACTTAGTTTCTCGTTAATTAAGCAATCATCCATTGAATAATGTTTGGAAAATAGAGTAAGACGACCATAGCTATTATTGAAAGCAGTTTGAATGACTCCAACTCAACTTTCCACTTCACATGGTACTGCTCTACTTTATCCTGATATGAAAAAAGAAATCGATTCTTCTTCCATGCAATAATTAGTGGCAATGCAAAGAGAAAACTTCCACAAATTTGATTTGTTCAAAATAGTCTTGATGATGATTATGTCATTGACTGAATTTTAATAATATGATTTTGAATGTTTAAAATAAAAAGTGATAAATTTTCAAATGAAGAAGATTTTCAGATTGCATTTGAATATTTTAATAAGAGGATCATTTGACATTTGTTACTTTTGGATCGAGCTAAACTAGCTATTGTTTTCAAGCACTAGATACCTGTCATTGTTCAAAAGTATCTGCTCACATGTTAGGATATTGGACACAGCTACTAATCCAACGAAGACGAATTTCGGTTGACTGTAAAAAAGGGTCGAAAACTGTTCTGGAAAATTCTGATTAGTGAGAGACATGCTTTATTATATGGGATAATACTAACATTATAATAGAAATCAAGCATAAGTCAATAGATATAAAAGAGAAAATTTATAGCGTCGTTTTTTTTCGTTTAGCAGTTGTTAATGATAAACTATCAAAGTATTCTATAGCAATTATAACATCCTCATAATATCGCTCACTAAGTTTGTCCATATGATGTTGAATTGCAATTAAATAGTTGGTGATTTTGCTTGAGCTAAATCTGGTTAAGATGAAGCAGCTGCAGGCGTGACAATAGAGCTTTTAGCTGTATAATAATTATTTGTCCGACTCTTTTAGTTAATCTAAATCAAGAATTAATCATCACCATTACTACTCGTGACAAATCTAGACTAGTAGAATTATAACAAAAATAACAATAAACTATAGATGCTACGAGTCATGATTTACTAGAGACATTACTTTTTTCATTATTTTTCCATTTCAATATTTATTTTTCGACATTTTTTCTCTGATGTTTTTCCTTTCAACTTTTTTCCAGCACACCCGAATCTCGGCTTCTACTCATATAATAGACATTTGAGAAACTCAAATAGCTCCCATAATTGAACTTGTTTGTTCTAGACAAATTAAATATTGAGCAAATGTAAGTTAGACACTGAGATTCAGTCATTAAAAATATCTCTCACTATTGCTATAGTCGCTGGATTCTGTTTTCTATACTCGAGATAATGAACTGTGACATTCATAGAATAATAATAATAATAATAAACTGTTGTTAATTTTATGAATTTTCAGAACTGCTCTGTGGTAAATTCTCTTGCGTTGTATTGTTTTAGAATCAGGAAGAAAGAAAGGAGTACAAACGATAAAAAGTCATGTTGATGCTTTTCATAACTAGCAGAGAAGATTTACAATCTTCATAAAAGAATATGAATAAAATAACAAAGACTAGTGAATGTAAATAGCCAGTGTCATTTACATTTTTTTAAGAAACGAATTGGCAGAATCTAAGACTGTCGGTAAAAATATAAGAAGGAAGAAACTTTAGAAAAGCAAAATTTTTCGGCTAAAACCAGAAAAAGTGGCAGCACTGTTATGGACGTGAATGTGTCCGTTTACTGAGTTCGTATATGAAGATCGTATATGAACTCCGTTGTACTCCCTATTTTGCCGTAAAAGATCATAATTCTCCGTACAAAATACTGAGAAATAGGAAGTGTATACAATCGTTTCCGATTCTAAACGGATTTCGAATACTTCGTTTTGAAGAGGTATCAATATTTTTCCGAAGACCACTGACAGATCACTTTGTGACCTACTGACATTGTTAATTAAAACATGGAACTATGCAGTGACATAGTCTCTTTTGAATGGTGAAAACTACAGTTCTCTATCTTGGCCCTATCACACGATATTCGTAATCAAAGACTTCTGAATCATTATTGAATCACACTGTACTTTTATTTTTCGTATGCCACTCTATTTAAAACATTACAATAAAAAAAAAATATACCAATCGAATTCAATCATAGTCCAGCAGGATATAAACCAGTCGGTATTTCTTGTCTTGTATATCTAACAGCAAACAGAATAACTCTAACACAAAACAGTCCACAACAAAGAAAGGTTATCATTAATACCATAAGTTGATTAAATGATTTTTCTAAGAGTAATTTCCGATGTTTAGTTAAAATTCCTACTAAACTCATAAACCAAACTAACCATGGAGACCATGTATAAGCCATTTGAGATGGAAATATAAAATTTTCAAGAATCCAATAAACAATAATACCAACAGTTAGTAAAATAAGAGAAAATCTTGTTGCCCAACCTTCAACATTCAATGGTAATTTTTTTTTCAACCAAATCGTAAGATTAAGTGATGAAGCAACAAGTAACCAAGCTGAATAAACTGCATGACCATTCAATATGATAAAACGCATTATCCAAATATCACTCGATCTATAATTAATACATTAAAGAAAAATAAAAAATAACAATTTCTTACTTATTCAATCGAATAAAATCCCATCTTCTATGCCAAAGAAGAATATGATCAATTACACAAGCACCGACAATAGTTGCCAACAGTAAATAAAGAATAATAGTGGAAAACTAATTATAATAATAAATATTAATTGAAATACTAAAATATATAACTCACTCCAAATTTGAGTCTATCCCACAGAACTAACCAAAAAGAATTCAGAAGCATATTAACAATAAAAAGAATAAAAATAGCCACATGTAAAGTATATGGATGAATATAAAGAAAACCATCATCGGTTTTTCGCCATATATTTACAATTGAATATACAAGAAAAGCTAACTAGAAAGAAAAAAGTCATTGAACAAAAAAATTCAAACACATTTTCTATTTATTTTATTTTACCTGCCAAGTATATATAAGTCCCCATATGGAAAATGTTGGACCAGCTGGTGTAAATTCAGTTGGATTTTCATCACTGACTTGAGCTGTTGATTTTCTAAAAAACTCTAATATACAAAAGATTTTCTTTTTTCTTTGATCATAAATGATAATTCAATAATTACTATTAGGTCCAGTTGAAGCAAATCCATTAACAAGACAAGTAAAAATAAAGGAAAGTAAAGCAAGGAAGATTGCAGCGATTATTCCACCATTATGTACATAGTCTGTTTCTGTTTTATTGCCTGATAAGTCTTTAACTAAAACAAGGATATCTATCAGTTATTGTTGATCAACATCAAAAATTTCTTTTGAAGTTATTTGTACTAGACATGTCGAAATACAAATATGGTATTGAGATATTGGTCATGAAGGTGCTGAGATTTCAAAATATTAACAAATTTTTGTTTTCGATTTATTTAGCATTGTTGGATAAAGCATATCGAGTTACCTATGAAAAACTACTTTTCCAATTTTTGGAAACAAGTTTTTCCTAGATTCTAAATATCGTGCTTAGAGTCGTCCATTATTGCAGATATGGAATTTTCACTTTGTAGAATATGATAAGGGTTGTTTCCCAATTCTGCAAACAAAATTGACTAAAGAACCTTATGTCATATGGTTTTTTTTTGTCAATTTTGTCTGTAGAATCAGAAAATAACCCTTATCATATTCTACAAAGTAAAAATTACATATCTTCGATAATGGACGACTCTAATCACGATATTTAGAATATAGACAAAACTTGTTTCCAAAAATCGAAAAAGTTGTTTTTCATAGGTAACTGGATGTATTCTATTTAACAACACTAAATAAATTGAAAACAAAAATTGACTAAAATTTTGAATTTTCGATACATTAAATACCATTCAATACCGACATCTCAATACCATATTATCATTTTGACATGCCTAAACTGGATCTGTGAATAATTTTCTTGTCTTTCAGCTAAGAAACTTACCAATGAGAGTATCCATTTTTACCAATTGTCTATAAAAGTTGTTCGAGTTTATCGACGAGATATTTATACCTGAATGTGATATGTCATATCGTAAATATTGAGATGTTTTGTAATATTAACTTACAAGTTCAAGGAGTTGCTTCTTTCTATAGAATAGTTATCAATAGAGAATGAAAGAATGCAGGACGATTTTATGACCAATGCTGATAAAAAATGAAGCTTGTGCGCATATTTACACAAGCTTTTATAGGAGAAATTATCGTATACAAAAGTGAAATATAATACATATTATTTTATTTTACCTTAGTTAATGATTCGAATCTATCAATGATCAACGTCATTCTCCATTAATTTTCATATAAAAATACTCGATATACATCTAAATCTATTTTTAATACCAAATTAAAATTTTATTACTTGCTATACTCCGTTACCTTAAGTGTTTTAATTTGACATGATAAAATTCTTTTGTTCTTTTTGATTCAATATTAACAATGAAGTAACAAAACACTGGTAATGTTTCATATGTCTCGATGAGATATTTTCTCAGCTATTGAATTTACAACAAATGAAACAAAAATAATAATATCAGGATTCTAAATAAGGATCTAATTCTTTTACCTATCATTATCAACAAATGAAGAAAAAACAACGAAGAAAGTTATTTGATTTATTTATTCTGCTTTTTTGCTGTTCTATTTGTATATTGAGTCTTTTTTTTTAAATTAATTATTAACGCTTAATTAAATCAAAAAAAAAGAGAATTTACTTATGTTAACTATCAGTTCAACATTTTTCTCAAGACACATATTATAATTATAATCGGTAGAGTTTTATTCTTACTGATGTCAGTACCAATCTGAACTGATCAAGCAACATGAATTGTTCACAATGAAATTATAAAGTTAGCTTGTATGTCAAATTAGATTAACTCTGTTTTCTTTTAGATTTCAGCACAATACATTTTACATAATAAGAAAACATAAATAAACCTGTTACATAAGACGTAGGTCGATAAGAACATTTTTCTCTTCAAGATATTTTCAAAAAAAAAAAAAATTACATCACGATAGTGAGTCAACTACGAACTACAATGTGAGCATATTTATTCACATTAATACAACATTAAGGTTTTTCGCACCTATTGACCTGTAAGACGCACGTGAAAGTGTCTTTTCTTTTCCTTTTGAGTCAAACACATACCAATATATAGAGTTGACGATGTTGACCCATGTAAAAAAGTTTGGTCTAAGAATCAGATTATAATAGTGCTATTATAATCGATTTTTAATTTGACTCTTAAATCCAATTTTTTTACATGGCGACTACAAATATAATCTAAGTTTTTTGTATAAAACTTTTCGATGAATGAATAGACACTGGGTGAATGTCTACGCTATTATTTGTTTCTGATCGGCTATCGACCTTATATAACGTTCTAAATGTTTGAAAACAAACTTCAAATAGGTATTTCAGCATTTTTTATCTAATGATGCAAAAATTAAGGCATCTCAATGTATGAAACAGCTTATAGAATTGGATTACGAGCAAATATCATAGTCGATTAATGTGTTCGACTCCTTCTGAAGTTATATCATTTCGCTATTTCACTCTATTATTATCTAAAAGTGATATAGACAGACTGAGTTTGTCACGCTCTATTCAAATATGTCCTTGAAGAAGAAAAAAAAATTGTTCTTTTGGAATAGAATTACCATTTAATAATAAGAAGTCATACTTTTCAGATATCGGTTCACAGTTCTCGCATGCTGTGCATCGTCTTATATATTTAATTTACATAATTAATGTTTTATTACATAGAGAATACTCGATTACCTAAATTAAGTATTTTTTTCAAAAATGTAGAATATTGTATTGAAGCGAGAATGATTCAAAAACAAACAGAGATGGCCGTTTCTTTTTTTTTTCATACACGTTCAAAATGCTACATGTTTCGTCTCTTCATTTGTTACAATGATTTAGACAAAAACTGAGGAGATATTCGGAATCAGTGCCAGAACCTCTATATGTTGGCATGTGTTCGATTCAAAACGAAGAGAAATAAAATTTCAGTTGCACCGTAAGAGATTACCAGTGCAAAAAGTTTTAACGTCGAATTAATATGAATAACTATATTCATATTGTAGTTCATGGTTGACTCATTATCGTGATGTAACTTTTTTCGAAAACATTTTAGAGAGAAAAGTGTCCTTATCAACACTCGTCCTTTTAATACTAAATAACTCTTTATATTTTAGTTTAATAACGTAACATGATATACAAGTAGATTTTAAGTATATTATTACGATTTGCATTTACGGAGATAGTCTGATTCATGTTTCCTGAAAGAAATGAACTTATACGTAAAATATTAAGAGTCTTTGACTCGCAAAGAAAAATATTATTAGGATTAAGTTTTTGAAAGAAAAACAACGAATAGACTATGCTTGAAAAAATCTTCTCTTGAATCAGACCGGCAGTTTGTCATTACCAATGGGCGTTACTGTATTTCATCATAACATCTATCTCAATTTGTCTTTTTCTTGATTATCTGTTTGTTTATCCGAAAATTACTCATCTTGAACAGCAAGAATAAGTTGTTTTTTGTCTTGATTTAAAAATCGAGTGATCTTTTGTGGAACTTGTGTATATTTCCAAAGAAAATAATAGTGAGTGAAAGTTTAAATTGAGGTTTGTGCGCTTTCTCTCCAATTACAGACTTTATCAATCAGAATTTAAGGCGATGAATGACATAAATAACAAGACATAGAAGATTCTAAAATATTCTAAAAACTTTCTTGAGACTTAAATGGCTGGAATACGTTGTTCAACATTGTAAATAATGCAATTTCTGATTTTTGCGTAGGTAAACGATTATATGATAGATATCAAGAATGATGGTTTCATTTTCCACAACATGCCATATAATCAACATAAAAGCATGGACTGATTAAATTCTAACTTTTAAGAATAATCAATTTTAGTCTTTCTCAGTTCATTAAGATACATAATGGACTGTTAAGATCTACTGTAGATATAACCAATGTATACAATAAGCTTATTTGTTCATTACATCAATAGTTAGATTAATAATAATAATTTATGAAAATGAAACAGAAAAAAGAAAATAAATACTATGCGAATAGCAACAAAACAAATAAAAAAAAGAGCGTCAGTCAAAATAAAAACACAACAAAATTTTTGTTCGAAACGTAACAATAAAAAAAGACAAAAGGTTTGTTGACAATCGATTATCGTTGAAAAAGAACTATGGTCTTTCAGAGATTTTACACATTGTATATTTTGTATTAGTGTATAATGAAGCTAAATAAGACATATGAGTTCCATATTTCAGCCCTAAAAGAGCTACATTAACAAGCTTTTTTATATTAATTTTCTTCAAATGTTATTTCAACACTGTATACGGTTGTATTTGTTTTTTTCAAACTGAATATATGATATAACGTTGAGTTTCATTAATGAACAATCTCAATAGAATGTTCTTCATTATTATTTAACAGACAGTTTCAAGTACCTTTTTGAATATATCAATATGCATATAACTGATATTTGCATCGGCTTGAAATATACTTTACCAACCAATATATGTGAAGCAGACAATATTCAATGTTTCAATGGTTTACTGGAACTAGAATTTAGTGTTTCTATTTTTCTATAGCATACGTTGACACCGTTAGGATAGAAGCCGTCATCTTATATTATTTTGCCTGTTTGCCGGCAAATCATAGCGTCGTATCTCGTTGTTCTTGACCGAATCTTAGATTCATTGTCTTCTTTCATTTGGTGTTTATTTAGCAAAAAATGGATTTATTGAACATAACTCTCAGCAAGGGATATTATCAACAGATGTAGAATATCACAGCTCAATCTTATCTATTGATCAAACTCAAAGAACTATCATTATCAACGCATATCTTACATAGAATTGCTATTTTCATCGACGTTAAGCAAACTTTATCGACTTTATCAAGTGAGTATTGGTTTGGAATTTAGAACATATACATCAATCCGTAACAGTCACTCTATCATAAGCAACTATTTATTTTAGTTTATCAAAATTTTTATCGATTCATGTAAGACTATTCAAGTTTGTGCTTTATAAAAAAAAAAAAGAAATGCATCATAAAATTCCCAATGATGATTAACGGAATTGATTTCATTCGTTGGTGAAAAGGTTTCATCAAAGTAAATTTTACCTACATTGAGTAGTTACATTAATAATTCTAATATCTTCTTCTAGAAGTACAATCAATTGCAATAAGTTAAGATATAAAACGATAGATTTTGAAAACAAAAAGACATACAGTGCCGTTTAAAATTATAAGAATAAGGTAATTTTGATTTTTTTTTATCAGCGATATAAAATATCTAACTTAAATCTAAAGAATAATTTGTATAGCTAATAATAAATGTCTCTAAAAACACTGAAGACTATTAGTTTCAGGTCTTAGAAGGCGTGATTGGACTTCATTTTTCACAGATTTATCTGGAAGAACGAAAAAATATTGAATACAATGATGGATGACTGCATTTATTATGGCTTTCTCTTACAAACTTACAGTCATCTCAAAAAAACGAAATTTATAAAAAAAGCGTATTTTTGTTTTTTGAAAATGCTTGTAATGTTGTATGGGAGGGTCGTAAAAAATGTGGCGATCCTTCATTGTATTTTAGAATTTTGCGCTATTTCAACTGGAGCAGTTGAAAACAAGCTCCCATTACATCTTCTAAAACCTGAAAACCTCCCCACTGACAACAGAACTCTCTCAGATATCTTCTTTCAATTGTAGTAATTCTTTGCCTATAGATACTCATAGTATTCTAACAAAAACTCTAAAAGGATTTGGGTTTTTATTGAAATTTGACTATGCTATTGAATTTGTAATATGTCTATTTTCTAGAGCTCCTAAGTTTTTGAAAAACTCGTATATTTGAATTTTGACCTGAAACTTTGAGCATATAGAGAATTTAACTACACTAGTTTCCATAAAAAAAATTCAGAAGTTTTGAAAAAAGTCTCTTCGAGATATGAAACTTTTAAGATATATATTCTTTACCGTGGATTATGTACGATGGCGGATATAAGTCTAGAACAGTTGTATGTTTAAGTTTTCTTCTCGATGGAAATAGCTAGCAAGAATCAGGAAAAATCATTTGTGTAGCTGAAAGGATTCTCTATTAGAAGTGATAGACTCGAAGACTTTCAAAAAAAAGTGTTTGGATGAAGGGCAACGAAAAACTAACACCTCAAAAACCAGCTTTCTGGTTTTCATTCGAAGCTTGTAGAAAAATATTTTATTTGCTAGAGCTGGTAATTCTAATTAAGATGACATGTCTTAGCTAATCTCCATGATGTTCCTTCATTGAACTGCATATAATTTACAAAAAGCCCTAGAAGTATTTTTCTGTTCTTCTTATTGAAAACTTCAATGTTTTTGCCATGTCTGACGCTTTGGGGTTTCTGTGAATTAAATGAAGCTCCACAAAGGAAGATCATGGAGAACTCGAAGACTTTTCATTTGGTTCAGAATTATCTGCTCTATCAAATAAAAGCTTTTCTCAAAACTTTCGAATGGAAACCACAAAGCTGATTTTAGAAGTCTTGGTTTTCGATAGTTTAGTCAAATCTCAATAGCAATTCAAATTCTTTTAGAATTTTTATTAGAACACTATGTGGTCCTTCTACAGTTTAGCCGCACTCTTACACTGATTGGTACATTACACGCAGCAATCAACGTGAGGATGAGGGCGAGAGTGTGGCTAAACTGCAGTAGTACCCACTATGTAGTATCTATAGACAAAAAAAAAATCATTGAAATCAGACAGAGACATCTGAGAAGGTTTTCTCATTAGTCCGACCATGAAACTTTGATATATAGTGCATCTGATAGAGAAGTTCATTATCTATACAAGTCACTCTTTAGATATTAGTTAAAATATTCGGTATCACAGAAAAAAAATTCAAAATTACTTTGTTTTTAAAACTTTGAATACTACCATATGTGTCAGTATAGATTATTCTGATACTTTCATATAGAGAAAAATGATATAATATTATTTATAGAATAAATAGAAGAGAAACAGTGACGAAATTTCTTGTTATTTTTCACTCGTTAGTTTGACCAATAAAAAAAACAAGGGAAAAAAATAGATGATTGATAGTATTATGCATAACGACAAAATGTAACCACTACCATTCGCTTTCTTTTCATATGTATTGACTCAAACAATGACGTTATGATTGTTGTGCATTTGATTTAAAAGGAAAAAATGATTCATAAACGTAAATATGTTTACCTGATATAAAATTATCAGCTGTTAGTTTTTTTTCTTTTTGTGAAATAACATGTAATCACTTTGAAGTTTTATTACGAATGAATTCAATCATCTCAATTATTATTCTGGAATAAATCTCATTTTTTTTTTTATCAATGAAATCATATAATCGATTTTGTTTATGTTCACGTCGTAATGAAGTACATAATTCTGATGATGAATTTCTTTTTCATGAACAACAATTAACTCATAATTTAATTAATCATAATATTCAACGTTTACAAGTTAAAGGTGATGGTAATTGTCTTTTTTATGCACTTGCTGAAGGTCTTATCTATGAAATGAAAATGGATCCAAATAGATTTCATTTACAATTAGAAGCATTTGGTTTATCATCAAATTTTCGTTTAATTGAATTTGCCAATCGTTTACGACAAATATGTGTTAATGAATGGAAATCAAATGAACAATTTTATAGTCAATTTGTTGATACACATAAAGTTTCATTTCATAAAGAAATTAAAAAATTTTCAAAAAATGGTGTTTCAGATTCTACATTAGGTGATATTGTACCATTGACTATATCAAATATATTTAATATTAAAATTATTATATTCACATCCGTTTCTGATTTATCTCAAATTGAAATAAAACCAGCAAATGGAAATAATTTATCATTACCTCAAAAAACAATTTTCTTAGCTTATAATCAATATGGATTAGGACATTATGATGCAGCCTATCCTCATACTTGAGATAATCATGACAGAAAGTTGTTTTCTTTATTTTTTTTAATAACACAGAAACAAATGCTCTGCTTTCTTTTTTATGTATATATTGATATTTCGCATTTTTTGTTGCCAGTAATCGAAAAACATTGAGTTTATGAATATTGGCACAAAAAAAAAACGAATTCTATTGAAACAAAAAGTTAGTAAATCAAAAAGGATTTTATCATTGTCATCGTTTTTGATTTGAAGGCATGAATGTATATAATTCATCGAAATCGACTTTCTGATCATCATTAGCTGAAAATATTTTAAAAGAAAAAAAAAATACAAAAGAATTTTCTAAGAAAAATAAATGACTATTTAATAATCATACCATTATGATTATTTTCACTAAGCATATAATTGAGATCATTGTCATATGATGATGAAGATAGAAAATTTGGATTAAGTATTGTTAAGAGTGATGGATGTTTTGATTGAGATAACATCGAATTGTATCGTTTACCAAACCTATATGCAGGAATAAAATAGAAAAAAATAAAAACAAAAAAACCGATTACCTTGGTCGAGCGATAATAGCATAATAATTATGTAATAATTTCCAAAAAAGTGTCCACTCGTCTGCTGATGCATTGGGTGATGGAAATTGAGGTGGATTAGGAAAACTTGCGGATGATGTTAAATGAACAGTAATAATGGAAAATACAACAAGACTGATGAATAGTGATAAAAAGGAATTCATTCTTAAATAGTGATAGAATAAATTATTTACCATCGTACAAAGAAAAATATTCAATAGAAAACAAACAATTAAACTATTAAAAATAATCAATACCTATTTTACTCCAACCAAAAAAATAGACTCATCAGATATATATATATATATATTAGAATAATGAAAAGATTCATTAACACATACAGATAAATTCTTTTTTATTTTAAATATAGGTTGATTTTAGTACTCAGCTACCTGCGATTTATATTATTAGTTTGAGTTACTCATCCGTTATGCTTATTGAACAAAAAAAAATGAAATCTTTTTTGGTATATATATGTTTTATATATATAATGGGACAATAATTTTTTCTACGTGAAAAGAAGGAAATCGACAATAGAAAAATTATTTGTATGAAATGTATTTACCTATACTCTCAATAATCATGCTGAGCTCACCTACACGATATAAATACTTATCTAACAGGAACGTGTTTGTTGTCTATAAACTTTTCTTTGCTATTCGTCATGGTAGGTTGACAATTTTAAAGCATTCACACGCGTCCAATTATATATGTCCGGGCAAGCTGCTAGTTACACTAATATATGTAATAATGAACGTGAGTGCATATTTTACAGTAGGCGACGCATGCAAGATCAGGAAACAAGAAAAAAAAAAGATATTAAAGAAAATTCTATGATATATATATATATATATATACATATTAATTGATATTCTAAGCTAGTATGAATTAGATAAAAAAAAATAGGATGTAATATTTAGTTGCAAAAGAACAAAAATATCTTAATAATTTGAACGTGAAACAAAAAACAAACATGTTTAACAACCAGGAATTACTTCATTCTAATTGTCTGCTATATACTCGAGCAGATATAGAAGAAGTTTCTTTTTTTGTTATAGAATAAACACCTATTTCGAATGAAAGAATAATGATTCGTGTAGTCATTTGGAAAATCAATCTTTCTGAAAATACCGCATTTGATGTTGAAGGATGAGACAAGTAAAAAGATAATAAATGAACAAACTATAAATTCAGTTGATGATACTTGGTAGAAAAAAAGAACTGAAAAGTAGAATAAGATCTTACTAAAAAAAGAAAGAGAAGTGCAAAAAAAAAAATAGTAATAATGATCGATCATTATCATTCATCAACAAGAAAAAAAGAAGAAAGAGTTAAAAAGACTTTTCATGTATTCTATATTATTACATAAAGTGTTTATTCATCTACAATTGTTGAACATAACCAGAATAATATAGAATATGTAAATCTAAAAACTAAAAGAAATATATTATTTATTTATTTCACCATTGATAAATAAATTAAACTAACTATAGCATAGACAGTGCAAAAAATAATCGAAGAATAGAGTTTTTAGATAAAAAGAAAGGTTACTTTTAAAAAAAGAAAATAATGAAAACGCCGAAGAGTACATTTTTATTCTCAAAGAAAAAGGAAATATGTTGGAAAATTTTTAGAAAAATCGTCTTAAGATAATACCCTAGAGGTCTTATTTTAGCTATAAGTTTATTAAGGACAACAAGGCGCGTATGAAGAAAATTGAGTCTTGTTATACATTTTAATAACCATAACAAGATCTTGTTTTTCATGAAAAAACAGTGCTTTTGACACGCTTGTCGTTGTCCTTAATGTAATGCTAACCTCTCTCTCTCTCTCTCTGTCTCGTTTCTTTCATCACAAGCCTTGATGTAGCCAATGGAGAATGATGGATAAGTCTTCTTTGCTAAAGATATCTATAGTACTTAAAACTCATTATTTTTTAAAGAAATTGAATTAAAATAGAATCATAACTTATGGTAAATTAAAATACTTAAACATGCAAAATT